AGGCCCTGGAGAGGCAGGTGCAGCGGGGGGCGGCGGGCGGTGAGGGCAGCGCCCCGGTGGCGGAGCAGCTGCAGCTGGCGGTGCAGCTGGAGGACAACCTGCGCCTGCTCACCGCCAAAAAGTGCAGCGTGGTGGCGGAGGAGGAGGACGGCGCCACCTGGAGGGCCTGCGCGCAGCTCGGAGCGTTCGGCGACATCCTGAGGCTTCAGCTGCTGCAGCCGCGGGCGGACGGCCAGCTGGAGAAGGTAGGCCACCAGGCAGACCGACCAAATGTTGATCTCCTCGGTGTGTTGGGTCTTTTGCTTATATCCGCTCTTTCCTCGCCAGGTTGACGTCGCCGCTTGTTCTGACCAACCTGGAGTTTACGTGGGACCGCCAATCATCTCTGTTCTGGAGACAACTGAAAGAGATTTTAAAGATGGCCGTTTAAAGATTAATGACATTCTTCAAGACAGACAACGATGGCGGCACACACGCAGCCTTCAGATGTCACACGGCGCTGCTGGTTCGGAGGGGCTGCTGCGCGTCGTTGCTCCGCACCTGGAGGAGCTGCAGATCAAGGACGAGGTGCAGCCGAGCGTGATGGTGGAGGTGGAGAATATGAAGTCTCTCAAAAGACTGGACGTAAGATGCGTTAGAGACTTGGACTACCCGGACCTCCCCTTGCAGCTCGAGGAGCTCGGGATTCGTTTTCCTTCTGAAAATCATTTGCGGTGTGTGGAGCGGATGCCTCGTCTACGTAGCCTGCAGGTAGACGATTACTATGGTCCGAACATTACCTTCGCCCCCTCGCAGCATGGGGCCCTGCGGTATCTTGAAGTTGGCTTCAACACACACCACAAGAACACCATGATGTCGCTGATCCGCGCCTACGCCTCATCAGTGCAGGAGCTCCAGATATACTGCAGCGTCAGTGAGGATTATGATGATAAAGCATTCTACTTTCCCGATCTCGGCGAAGAGCTGGTGGCGTGCGGTCTTCACGCCCTGCGGCGGCTTGTCCTTCTACGTCCACGAGACGACCCTTGCTCAGACCATGTCGCGGGCTGCCTGCTGCAGTGTCGGACCATCGGCAGCTATTTGCCTTCTCACGTCCAAGTGGTCTGCCAAACGTGTTACATGTCTGTGCTCTAGGGGTGGCTGCGTGAAGTGAACTTCTTAGCTTCTTCTTTAAAGTGATGGTGCCTGTAATGGCGAGCAAACGCTTACCCTGACCCTGTCGTTATGCATACCGTCTTTAATTTATCCTTTTGTATAAATGATCTAAAAAAGTAATGCCCATTTTGTAAACTACTTTTCCTGGTGGTTTTAATGTTTAACTTAGTGATTCTCAAAAATAAAAGGAGTAATACTGTAAAGGTGTACATTTCTTTTAAATACATTGCCTGATTGCCTAGATGCAGCCGCTAATGTGTCAGTCGGCCCCAACGGAAGTCACTTTGGGTGGGGCGGCCTGCCCGTTGGAGCACCCAGGGTGTAGGTGCTGTGTGTCTGTAACACCTTCAGCATGGTGCAGACGGCCTCTGTAGACCGACTCCACGCTAGGCTGCGCACACCTGCAGCTGCAGCCGGCCGGGACAGCCGCGGGCCTAGCGCCTAGCGGGTAGGCAGCCCGCGGGCGGCGCTGTGTGGCGGGCCGGCCCAGCCAGCCGGGCGGCCGACAAGTAAGGCCCACGAGAGTCCCCAGCCAGAAACGTCGTATCGATATTCCGTCGAATCGACATCGACTAGAAGAAAAATTCATCGTTTCGACGTATTTTTGGACCTCTGGTACGACCAACGACGTCGAAATGACGGCGTTACGACATGCCATTTCTGGCTGGGTCCTATCTCGGGTACTTCTACGCGTAAACTACGGGTACTCTATGGTAGAACTATGCGCTCTTCGGTCCTTCGTTTGCCAGAGCGACCGTAAAGGTTCAAAGCAACGAGCGTGCTTTCTCTCTCGTCCCATCGCTAATTCTCTCACCAGAGCTGTTGTTCCGCTGAGACTGAGGAGAGCTCCTCCCTAGAATCTCGGCCGGCCGCCTGCTGGGTAGGCATGCCCGTCGAGGACCACTGTCGGGTGGGCGGCCTATGGTGCAGCCAGCAGGCGCTCAGCTTCACTAGCGCACGAGTTCCACCCAAAGCAGATTTGCATATATCGTCTCCCATCATGTGACTTTTCACGAGGAGGCAGGCCGCCCACACACATCCGCACCGCATGCGCTGATGCACGGAGATGAGTAGACTTGTGAGTCGCCGGCTGAGTCGTGATGGTCGGCACCTTGACAAGCGCGGACAGACTCTCTTTCGGCTCGGCGGCGGTGGCGGCGGTCGGCACCTGGCACATTAGCTCTCTGCGTTCGTCCTTACGCGCGCCTCGCCCACCGCCTTGTGCGGCCGGCCGCCGGCCAATGAAAACAGAGCGGCAAGCAGCCGAGAACCGGCGTGTTGTGGAGAATGAATCCGAGCATAACCTGTCCTGTTCTCTGAATTGCTACTCAATTTTAGACTGTTGTACTGCTCCAAGCTGCTCTTTATTCAGTCACAGAAAGAGGTTGCAGTTGTTTCCTCTGTCCGTGTTCTGGCACGAGAAAAGTGTTTTCAACACCTGTCGCAGAACTGTTCACTGTTGTTACGAAAAACAGAAACTAGCCGAACAACTGGCTTGCAGGTGAATAGTTAAAAACGGATTGTCAGCGGCGCAACACGTAGAGTGATATGTGTGATTCAATTCTTTGATGTTGTGCAGACCTGCTATTCAAAACGTTATGACCGTTAAAACTTAAGATATTTTGACTGTTACATTCCATTAATCCTGAAGTCATTACATTGTGGTATTGTGGTTATGCAAGTTCTGATTGATTGATTGATTGAATGGTTTATTGTCAACATTAAAAGGACTAGATAGTCCCGCTACAAATGTCGACCTGCTCGAGCAGGTAATTTTTACCCAAGTACAGGGTTTGTAACTTAATCTAGCACAAGAACAGGCATAGAGAAACATGATATAATGGGTTATGGTAGATATATTGCCTCAATTCTTGTTTTGAAGACAGATGTTAACTGATCTATATAGTTGTACAGCTTGAGTCTATTCCATAACTTGGCCGCTTGAACTCTAAAAGATTTGTTACATTTTTCGCTGTCGGGTACAGGAATTTGTAGCGTTAAACGGCTCAACCGGGTTGTTCTCACATTGCTGGAGGCAGTAAATTTGAATTCCTAGAACAAGTAGGCTGGGGTTCCGGTGGTGATTTTTTTCCAAATTAGGACGGCGGTGTGGTATTCACGCCTTTTTACAATTTTTAGAATGCGCAGCTCATTGTAGATTGGC